CGGCCCGTTCACAAAAAAAACACCAAATGAACGGCCGGTCACGTTCAAGTGACCGGTGCCGGTCACGTTCACGGGTCCGGCAGTGCCTGAGGGTCAACCCCTCGCCATAGACTTGGGCATACCGACAAAACAAAAAACCGAATCAGAGCGTTTCCTTGGCATCCAAGTCTCGTTCGGGGACCCAACAGACACTCAAGCATCCGTAACAGAGAACAAAATCCGGGATGCCTGTGCCACTTGGTCCAAAACTCACTTCCTATCATTGTTTGGCAGGGCGATGATCATTAACACCTTTATTACCTCTAAAGTCTGGTATATCCTGTCTATTCGTGCCCTTTCTGCAGAATCTGCAACTAATATCAAGAGATTACTAACAAGAGTCCATGGAAAGGAGACTCTGAACTTCTGAAGCCTCTTCAGCCCTCAGCAAAGTGAGCTGGGACAAAATCACAGAAAAACGGAAAGATGGGGGACTAGGAATCTTTGAGTCCTTGACCCCCTGACACAGAATAGAGCCCTATTGGCAAAATGGCCAATAAGAGCGCTGACCGCTAAAGAACAACAACCTTGAAATTTTCTGCTACAACACTACCTAGCAAGAATATGGAACCTCTCCGATCCTCAGGCAGTATGGCACACACTCCTTATGCGTCCTTTCACAGCCAAACCAGCAGCCAGCAGACAACACATGGACTAACAATGTCTAACATTCTTAGAGAATGGGGTAAAATGCTCCCCCATCCTATTGAGAACCCTACCTCTATCTTAGAAATCCTTAACACCCCCCTATTTGAACACCCAGCGATCAGGAACAAGGCCGGACAACCTTTCTCAGTAGCCAAGGCACCAGGGAACTTTGGGCTTACCTGGATGCAAAGAGGAACGATCTGGCTCATTCGCCATATTTGGAATCAGGACAACAGAAACTGGAGAACACACGGGGAACTTAGACACACCCTCAGGGGACTTCACAATACCCAGGACCATCTCACATCAATCATTCAAGCCATCCTGGCAGAGTGGACCCAGATCCTCTGTCGACCGGAATCATCCTACAGCGAGCTACTGTAACAATGGTTCAAGTCTCCAAGGCAGCAGGACACCTTCTACAGGGTGGACAAGATTCATGTCGACGACTCCACCGAAGCCTCAGAATGGCTATGGAATGACTCCAGACTAGACCAAACCAGAGAGACACGGAAGATACCTCTACTTGGCATGGAAGAAGTCAGAATTACACAGAAGACCATTGCCGGGAAACCACCCATTTTCCAAATCTGCATGAACGCGATTCCTTACAAAGACTGGAAAGTCGATGTCTGCAAATACGGTTGGGTACTCCACAACCAATCTGGATCCCTACCAAAGTCCCTGTTGTTGATTATACTGCCAAGACTGGATATAAAATCTTCTCTAACTCCCAATCACTCCATGCTGGTCTGTCTCTTAGATGGCAACTGAAAGCTACCTCTCTTAATATCCCCTCCATCTCTGTCAAGTGGCTTCTTTTCTTTATCCACAGTCTTCTCTCCACCATAGAAACCAAAGTAGGAGGTTTACAATGGCTACACCTACACGCATGTGTCCCGACAGATGTCGCGACAGATGTCGCAAGTATTTGATATTAAGTCTTCCATTCCCCTCTCTGTGCACCACAATTTGTCCCCACCCTAGAATCAAATACTTGCGACATCTGTCCCCACCCTAGTCTAGAGGACTGGCTTCACCTGTGGTGGGGATGTGTGACCGCTAGAGGCTTTTGGGACTTCCTGAACAAAATCTGGCTACAGGCATATGGTACTTCAAACTTCTGGGACAAGAATCTGGTCATCACAGGGAGAGTGCAGGCAGAGTTCCACAATCAACAGGCCGAAACAGTTTCCTTAATCTTCAGAGCGAGGGCTTTCTGGGAGTTATGGCTAGCCAGAAGAGACAGGAGATTCTTATCAATCAGCAACCCCACCGCCTCCCTAATCGCACAGTTCAAGCATGCTCTTCGGTTGGACATAACTGCGGATTGGTACAAGCTCAAAAACCACTTGCCCTCTAAGGAGCTCGCCATGTCGGTTTTTTCGCAAGAAATGGGCTTCTCCCTTTCAATGGGCAGACATCTCAGACAACCACAGACTCTTCTTTTGTGACCTCCTTTGGGATCATCCCTCTATTAGACCTTGAGCACAGAGCTACATCAGACGGTCTACGCACTGAGTAGCTGAGAGGGCTAAAGCTGTTTTCCCATAAAACCTCCTCTGTTCTCTGTTCTCCATAAGACTATGTCTTCCCCTCGACTTTGTCTTCCCCTCGGGGTGGTTTTGTTTTTCATTTCTCCATAAGAGAAACTGGGTAATGCTCCCAGGGTTTTCCTTTTCCTCCTTATCTTAGCAACGGGTAGACTGTGAGGACCCCGGCCTCAAATTTTGTATTGGAATATAAGCCTTGGGCACTGGGCCCGTGTTTAAAAAAAAAAAAATAAAAAAAAATCGGGAGTCTAGGGCCTCCCTGCACTACTCTCGACATGCACAAAAGACAAAAATCATCGCCGTGCATCTTTCTGTATTCTAGAGGAAGATTCACTGTCGTTTCGCACATTTCGAGAGTAGTGCGGAAAAAAAAATGAAGATAAATAAATAAATAAAATCTTTGAGAGTCTAGAGTAATGGAGCGAGGCCCTATGCCCTTCTCCACACCACTGTGGAAACCAAAGAAGTTCGAGTGTGCATCTTCACGCAGAGCGTGGTAAGATGCATCCGTTACTATATATAGCAACAGATGCATCTTACCACTTTCTGGGGCAGATGCATTCTTTCTTTTTTCGTTTCGACAGTGGTGTGGCGAGGCCCTATGACACTCTCGAAGCCGTCAAGGCGAAGGAGCATAGAGCTGCTAGACCGAATTTTTTTTTTTTCTTCGCTTGTTCTGATTGGCTGGTATTAGGATGGCTCGCTTCATTTTGCAAATTTGACGGCGTTTTTTTTTTTTTCCCCAAGAGTTTTTCGATTCAATGCTGATCTCAGTCTCTGCTGACGTCGGCTCCAGCTTTCATTCTCCAGTCTCTTTTTTGCCCAAGCCGTACTCACGCTAGCACCATCGTAAATGTATCTGACCGCATTCACTGCCAGAGATGGATGTATCTGGACGCAATTAGGTCAAAAATAAGTATAAAAGTACTAGTGTGAGTATGCCCTTAACCTTTTTACTTATATAATGCTGGGAAATGGGGCCAACGTCCTCACAGAAATGCGTGGACTGCTGATGAACCTTTTTTTTTTTTTTTTTTTTTTTTTTTTTTTTTTCCTTTTTTTTTTTTTTTTTTTTTTTTAAAAAATTTTTTTTTTAATTTTTTTTTTTTTTTTTTTTTTTTTTTTTTTTTTTTTTTTTTTTTTTTTTTTTTTTTTTTTTTTTTTTTTTCTTTTCTTTTCTTTTCTTTTCTCAAGAGGGGAAATTTGATTTCATGAAAAAACAAAAGATGGTCAGACAAGAACGAGGGGGCGGCGCGGCTGGTCAGTGCGCTATCGCCCCGTTCCGGACCGGCGTCGACCTAGGGATTGTCGGTGCCCTAGGTCGCTATCTCGCCATCAACTCCGCCATCGCCGACGGAGCATGGAGGACGGAATCGCTCATTTCCATGAGCGGCCGGCTTTACGGCCTTGTTCTTTCGAGATAGCCCTATGAGTGGAGGGTAAAGGCTAGTAGGGTATCAGTGGTTTGCTTAAGTTGTAGGATTGGTATATTTGAGGACGTTACCTACGACTGTCAGAAGTGTCGAGGATCATCCACGAGAGATATCTGGTGGTAGTCTGGTAGATTTAGTATTCTCATCACACTACTGGTGGTGTTTGAGAGGTGGAAATGGCAGAGATGGAAGAGGATCAGGTGGGCGAGAGGAGGGAGATCCCCCCGGCAGTTAATTACTGGGCGATGGAGGATCGGGCCTGTCAATCTATTGGTCATTGTTATGACGAAGGGGTGTTTCCAGCGACCTCAACAGTGGTTGGGGAGGTCATTGAAGATGAGAGAGGGAGGAGATTTCGTGTTAATGATTCGTTCGATGCCATCAAAGAACGATGGCTGAAGGAGAGGACCGTTATCGTGATCTTCCAGGATGAAGCCAGGGATTTGACTAGAGCAGTTAAGGAGGACCTTGTGAGGGCTTTTGAGGATGGTTGGTTCGCCCGCCGCTTGTTCAACCCGGAAATTCGTCGTGGCAGAGTAAAGTTTGAAGCTCCCAACGTGCTCTCGTACGTGGCAAAAGCAGTGGAAGTGGCGGCATGGATGGTGAGAAAGGGCTCTACTCGTCTCAACTTGAGGGGGGAAGATTATCCCGTCACGTTCAAGGCTTGGATGACTAAAGCAGAGCTGAAGGAGGTCAGGCTACAGGACGCAGAGACTAATTTCTAGATCATTGCGATCCGTGTACCTCTCGATGCTATGTGCTACCTACCAGCGGCAGTAGAAAACCTATTCGGTGGAGTCAAACTGATGCATGCGCCAGAGGCTGACCGGTCCAGACCGAAGTTAGTCAATGTCAAGATCGATATGGATCCGGAGGCGCGGCATCGGGTGGAAGAATCGCTAATTATCGAGTCGCCAAAAGAAGAGTGGTGGAAGGTGCAGATCGCCACCCCTTTTTTCGATTGGTGTCGAAGATGCCGGCAATATTTTCATACTGAAGATGCTTGTCCTAGGGCAGCTACAGATTTTCAGTCAGCGCGTCGCAGGTCTCCAGCTCGACAGACACAGCAGGATCCATTTCAGCCTCAACAGAACGGAGGGAGCACGGTTGCTCCGGTGCAGGCAGGTCCCTTGCAGGATGCAAGCCAGCACGGGGCGGGTGGAGGAGCGTCCAACCCGGTTGGCAATCACGCCCAGCCAAGTTCAACAGGGATTCCGCCATCGAACCCTGGCCAACCTATCGATCAGTCGGTGTTGCATTGTCTGGGGCAGGGGTCTTTCCCCTTGGTGGGAGGTAGTCGTTATCATGTCCCCCCTTTGTCGAATAGTTCCTTGATGCCTTCGTGGCCTTCATCTAACTTGTGGTCGGGTAACTCACCTCAACTCTTGCCGTACCAAATGTCGGCTGCCCTTTCCCCCGTACCGAACCAAATTCATCCCTGTCATTCATATGGCGGGAACACTTCATACCCTTACGGGCATGGTCATCCGTTCCCTTGCGGAGATTTGCAGATCCATCGCTCCTACCTTATGCCACCTGCTCCAGGCCCCTCCACCATTCATCCGTATAGAGATGATGGGCACTTCTCTCAGCCTTATCGGGCGGATTCAGCCAATCCCTCTCCTTCGAGAGGGGCATTGACCAGGAAGAGATTTGTAGGCCATGGCGAGGAGGGGAGGGAACGAGCAGGCTTCAACAAAGGACAGGGTTATTAGAGGGGGCGTCAGGAGGCAGGAGCCTATTAGGTCCTGTGGGGGGAGGTGGTGGAACCTCGATCTCGTCAAAGTCTAGATTGGCGATGGGCAGCAATTAGTAGGGGATGAGCTGGGAGGAGGTGACCTTCATGGTCGATTGAGAAGGGAGAGATCGCTCTCCTTGACGGGTAGCTCCGAGGGCTCTCATCGCAGGCAGGAACCTGACTCAGACACGGGAAGCAAGTTGGATTACAGGGGAAACGGAAGATCGATTGGAAGAGGGGACTTAGGGAGGGTGGTAAGGTTACTGGTTTCGTTGGTCTTTTCGAAAGCACGGGATGGGGTGTTTTTCTTAGGAATGGCCCAACAAGAGGGAGGTTTTTACCTCCCATCAGTGAGAGTGGAAAAATCCCCTACAACTATGGAAATCATCTCCCTGACTAAGGGGTTGTTTGGTGATATGTTTCCTTTCCGAGTTATCCCACGGTCAACGATGGTCAGCATTGTCGTGCCATTGGGATCTGAGGTCTATTAATTGTATTTTCCGATGATCGATGCGAGGATAGATCCTGCAATTGCAGATGGGCTGACCCAAGCTGGAATCCGATGGTTCCGAGTAGACGGTGTGAATGAGCAGTACAGCTCGGCTCTGGAGGAGGTTGCTATCACTATGGACATTTCGGCCCTGACCCTGATTGATGTGAATGAAAAATGGTTAGTGGAGCAGAAATTGTTTTCCAAGTTCTTGCTAGACTCTATCACAGAGCCCTGACGCTCGCCCTCTCAGTCTCAACAATCAAGGCACTCTAGAGCCTCTTCACAGTCACCGATGGATCAGTCTCCATTGGAACGTCAGCACACCTGGGGATCGGAACCCTAGTCCTCCTCCCGTATCCAATCACACGCAGATGCTGAAGGAATTAATGGTTAAATAAAAGATTGGATCGTGGAATGTGAGGGGCTTAGGGGATACATCAGGTAGAGATAAGAAAAGGAGGATTAAGACGTGGCTCTACAAGGAGAAAGTGGACTGTCTTTGTATTCAAGAGACCAAGTTGGACGAGGGTAAATTGGCAGAGATTAACGCATGGTGGGACGGGCCTCAGATATGGTCCCCGGCGCAAGGCACAAGAGGGGGAGTAGGTATCCTACTTCATCGCGATTTGCAGGATCATGTAATTGACTCTGAAGTGGACCTGTGGGGACGATGGGCTTGGTTCAAGCTGGAAACATGAGGGGAGGTATGGTATCTGATGACGGTATATGCCCCATCGGATCCAACATCGAGGGCGAGCTTCTTCAATAATTTCCAATCCTGCATGCCCCAGTCGGACAAGTGGATCTTGTTTGGAGACTGGAATCTCTCCTTGGATGAGGCATTGAAAGAAGGGTCTCGTTCAGCAGGCCGTGCAGATTCAAGGCAGCTTCTTTCGCTTATCCAAGAAGGAACATTGGTGGACATCTTCCGCTGGCTGAACCCAGAGGACCCGGGCTATGCTTGGTACTCAAACATTAGGAAGGACACTGGGGCGATTACCAGACGACGACTGGACTATGCATTAGTCTGTCAGAAACTGGCACAAGCAATCACAGCGGTGAGGCTGGTGGGACATCCGATGTCCGACCATAAACCAGTGGTGGTTGATGCGCTATTTGTGTCGGAGGTGGAGAGAGGAAGGGGTTACTTCAAATTGAATAATCAGAACTTGGAGGATCCAGGCATTAAATTATGGGTGGGCGAATTTATGGGTGACTGGCAATCATCGCGGGATTCCTTCCCCTCGGCGGCGGATTGGTTGGACGGGGGGATTGCTATCATATCTGGCGTAATGGATGTATGCTCTCGTATCCTTGCAAAAAAGCGGAATAAAGAGGAAGAGTCCTGCAAGAGAGCAGTGGAGGAAGCGGAGCGGAAAATGGAACTCCATCCTATCTCAGAGTTGATTTGGGCGAGTGAACGAGAGAGAAGATTGGCGGACTGGGAGAAGGTACAGCTAGACAGGCAGTCCAGGTGGACTGATGTGCTTAACTTGAAAGGACTGGAGGTCCAAGACACCTTGACCAAGGAGACCTTAAGGAAACTTCTTCCGAGCTCGGCATTCCATCAGGTGGTGGAACTTGCACATCCTTTTGACGCATTAGTACTTCCAGCAACCACGGCAAAGGGTATGCTCGAACATGCCAGGCTGTGTTATTCTGATGTTCTGACTTCAAGGAGAGAGATGGACAACACAGCTACGGATCTGTCAGAGGAGTTAGATATGTGGCAGGACACTCAGGTCTCCCTGACTACAGCAGAAAGGCTTGATTTGGATCGTCCACTGACATTGGAAGAGTTGCGACAGACGTTTAAGTTGATGGCGGCAGGAAAATGCCCGGGGGTTGATGGTCTATCGGTTGAATTCTACAGGACATGCTGGGATGCAGTGGGCCCAGCCCTGTTAGAAGTTTACAATGAGGTCCTGTTAGGAGGGAGGCTGGGTAAAGGGATGACCCACGGGATCATATCGCTGATGTTCAAAAAAGGCGATAAGTCTAATGTACGGAATTATCGTCCTATCTCTTTGCTAAATGTGGATTATAAGATATTGGCTAAATCGTTAGCAATTAGACTAGGTCGGGTGCTTCCGAGATTAGTGGAAAGAGACCAGGGGGTGTTCGTTCAAGGGAGGTCGATTTTCACTTATATCCTGACGGCAATCGAATCGCTGGAAGTGATAATGCATTGGATTTGAATGTGGCTGCGCTCCTCTTAGATTTTCACTTATATCCTGACGGCAATCGAATCGCTGGAAGTGATTAATGCATTGGATTTGAATGTGGCTGCGCTCCTCTTAGTCCTTTGTGCTCACTACCTTGAGGAAGTTAGGCTTTGGTGAGGGGTTCGTTCGTTGGGTGATAGCGCTGTACACCGGGTCAACTTCAGCTGTGGCAGTTAATGGTCATATTTCCCATCCCTTCGCTCTTTCACGTTCCCTGAGACAGGGCTGTCCTCTAGCCCCCCTCTTATTTGTCCTCCAACTTGAGATTCCCTTGAACTGCATGAGAAGGCATCTAGACATCACTGGTCTCCGCATTTCGGCTGACAAGGAATGTCGTACGAAGGCACTGGCGGATGATTTGTTTGTGTTAACAGCTAACACACAAACGTCGCTGGATGCTGTCAAGACAGTCTTGATGAATTATTCTCAATTGTCTGAAGCCCTGGTAAATTGGAATAAGTCCACGTTTATTTTGCCAGCACAATTCTCATTAGAAGCGGAGTGGGGTATGACTCGGGTAGTCCCAGAGGTAGGGGAACGCTTCCTGGGGGTTATGATTAGCCTTCAGGGGATGAGTACAGTTCAAGGATCAGTTCTTCACCAACGGATAACAGCCAAGCTCTCAGTTTGGGGAGCGGCGGGTCATTTGTCCCTGAGAGGTCGGGTCTTGGTGGTGAACGTAGCTCTGCTAACGTTGCTGGGGTTTGTAGGGATGGTAAGGGAAATCGCCATGCCAGCGCTGACGCATATTCGGAGGGGGATTTCGAGGTTCGTATGGAAACCACGGGCAGGTGTTGATGAGGGCTTTATCAGTAAAGTGGCCTGGGACTTATTAACCTTCCCCCCAGAAGAGGGAGGACTGGGCTTGATAGACCCGGCTAGGAAGAACCAGGCCCAGTTGCGTTCTTGGATTAGTAAGTTGGCAATGGGGAGAGGGGATGAAGATTGGGTATTGCTGGCAGAAGTGATCTTGATGAGAGAGTGGGAATTGTGCAGAACAGAGGATGTATGGCTATGCCTGTTCACCAAGTCATTCCTGAAGCGGAAATTAAAGTCGGAATTTTGGGAGGCTTTCAGGAAAGCCTGGGTGAAGTGTCCCCCAGACATCCGCACCCCACCTATCACAAAGAAGGAGGTACTTGGTCAGGGTTTGTTTGAAAATCCGTTCATTAGGGATGAGAATGGAGAAGAGTTCTCAGCAGGTTCAGAGCCTGGAGCCTTTGGAAGAGCGTGGATATGCAGAGGGGTGTCCCTCATCTCAGACCTCTGGTCCTTACTCACCGGGTCTTGGAAGTCAGTGGAGGGGATCAGACAACCACTTCGTGGCCTTCGGAGTGTGGAAGAGAGGATTATTTAGCTGATACAAGCGATTCCTCCGGAGTGGGTTCGCCTACTCGGACCGGAAGGTCTGGACCCTGTGGGCACATGGTACGTCCCAGACGGGGGTGAGGAGACTGGCACGGTATGGTTGGTGAAATCTCGGACGGAAAGTGGGTTTCGGGAAGTTCAGAAGTGGCATTCCTCAGACTTTTTGGGAGGACTGAGAAGAGGAGACACGGAGATCATCAGAC